ACTCCACGCTGTAAATAAAACATATGATTGGAATTTCTTTAATTTGTTTTGATTTTCTGTTTATATTTTGTTGTATTTCGTTACCAACATGGTAACCCGTATGGCTCATGTTAATTGTTTTAATTTTTAAATAATTTTTGTCCTTTTTTGAGCCTATTTAAATTTATAAATAGATTTTGCACATCTACAGACATATATCAAACAGAATACGTAGATTTTTCCTGCTAAGCACACGATTTGAGAAAAAATATTTTCAAGAAACATGCTTACCTATAATATATAGATAATGTATGACGAAGAATATCACGTTAAAATGTTTACCACAAACCAAATAACTTTAAAACATTTTAACGTTATTCACAGCTTCTTAAAAAACCTGGAACCGAAACGTTCTTTTCTATTATCTAAAGTACGTTAAGAATAATTATTAAAGTTCAAAGATTCTACTAAAAAGTTAAACATTAAGCTAATTATATACATATACGTGCAAATTTAAAGCAATCAAATCTTAATTAATTGGCGCATTATAGCTATTTTCGCCACCATGCTGGTAATGGATAACATATTGGTAATGGATAACCCAATCGGGCTCTGGTGGTCTGTGCTCGATATATCGTATATTGCATCTGCAGCTCTGTGCCATGTGCAGCCGTATCACACCTTGTGATAGGTATCGAGATGATTTTGTCATGCCCTGACCTGCTTGTTTGACTAAATAAAATAGGTACTTATTCATTTTGAAGAAAATGTAGTATGGAAAAACACTTAATTAAATTATATTGCTTATATAACAAAATTTAGTTATAATAGTGTTCTTCTATATTTGGTTATGAAACGGAATTTAAAATTTAACTACTATTTTTTAAGGAAAATTGTACAAATTAATGTGTAAGCACATTTGTATTAAAACATTTTGGAATAGGCAATACAATGGCCATTTTGCTTGATCAAAATAAACAGTTAGTTTATAAAAGATTAACGAAGACCGTTACTTACGTTTCTGACTCTCATACGTAATCGTGAGTTTTATCAACTGTATATATATATATATATATATATATATATATATATATATATATATACAGGGTGGTAAAAAAGTCCCTGGACAGTTAAATATTTTAAAAAATAATGCAGATAGAGCTACAATACTTGGTACAAAGTTACAAGGCATAAAATTCTATTTTAACACATATTCAGTGATCCAATAACTCTTCAGGGGGACGGCCCACAAGGAGTCGGAAGAAAATCTTAAATGGAAGCATAGGTCAATATGCACATCAAATTAAAGGTATTTTTTAGTAGAATACAATGCCGCAAAACGCACTTCAAAAGGTTGATCCTGCGCAAAATGGCAGATGTTCAAAGATTTCTTGAATCCGCCATTTTGAATCTTTGAACGACTGTCATTTTTTACTCAGTCATTATTTTGAGCTTGAATTTACGGCATCGTAATCTACTAGTGAAGACCTTTAATTTGATGTGCATATCGATTGCAATTTTCTGCTTACGTTAACAATTTTCTTCCGATTCCTAGGGCTGTGCCCCCTGAGAAGTAAGCGTATAATAGCAATGTAAATTAAATGAATCTTTGAACAACTGTCATTTTGCGCAGGGTCAACCTTTTTAAGTGCGGTTTGCGGCATTGTATTCTACTAAAAAAGACCTTTAATTCGATGTGCATACTGACCGATGCTTCTATTTAAGATTTTCTTCCGACTCCTTGTGGGCCGTCCCCCTGAAGAGTTATTGGATCACTGAATATGTGTTAAAATAGAGTTTTATTCCCTGTAACTTTGTACCAAGTATTGTAGCTCTATCTGCATTATTTTTTAAAATATTTAACTGTCCAGGGACTTTTTTACCACCCTGTATATATATATATATATATGAATTTCCAGGGATTTGATACTAAATGTAAATTAAAAATATGATTTAATCATGGGCAAAATGATTACAGGGTGGGGCAGCACAAATTCCTTTCTTAAAAACTTAATAACACACATTCTATGAGTCAGAAAAATGTTATTTGGTTTTTACAATGTAAGAACATACCTAAAGTTTTGATTTACGTAGTTTTGAAGAGTAAATAAATCATGTTGGTGACGTCCCCCATTAATTTGTTGGAAATTTTGGACATTGAGTATACCGATTTCTGGTGTTTGTCATTACCCTTTCAAGCATAGCAGGCGTTATGTTAGCAATTTCTTCCTGGATGTTGTTATTTAAATCTTGAAGGGTCCTTGGAACGATTCACATAAACACGGGACTTAAACAAACCTTATAGAAATAAATCGCAAGTGGACAAATTGGGAGAGCAAGCCGCTCATTGTCAATCGCCCCGAATTGAAATGAGGCGTTCTGGGAAGTGTTCTCTCGAAACAGCCATCGATGATCTTGCGATATGTGCCGTTGCACCATCTTACTGGAACCAAATTTCCCCAAATCCAACTCTAACCGTGGGAAAATTCCTTGAACATGTTTACATGCCGGGCCGAATTCACTGTCACTGCGACTTCATTTTCCTCAAAGAATCAGGTCCCGATAGTTAAAGTTGAGGAAATTGCACATCACATTGTCACTTTAGGTGAACGTAAAGGCCTTTTCACGCGATTCTCGAGGATTGCTGTAGGCCCAGTAGCGCATTTTGTTTATTCACGGAAAATTGTTGTTTATTCAATTGTGGGTACACAAATGAAAGTGAGCTTCATAAAAAAAAAAAAAAAAAAAAAAAAAAAAAAAACACACAATAGCGTTCTCAGAAACGATATCCAGAAGAACATCACAAGTGTTCCACGTTCTGACAGTTCGAGCACAATCACCATCTTGTATGGATAGAAGTGTAGGTCTTCATGGAGAACTCTCCTCATAGAATGATTTGTTGGATGTTAGTTTTTTTGTAAATTTTGCTAGTTTGTAAGCAGTGTATTACTATACTTTTTACTTGAAAAAATTTATTATTTTGAATATAATAAATACCCCACCGCAGCAAACCTGCGGACATTTATTCCTTATTTAAATAGAATTATTTCAACAAGTACTTAGGTTTGCTGCAACAGGCAGGGTTAAAAAGTGTTTTTGTTGTTAAATGTTAATAGTTTAGTAAGAAATGAGTGTAGGTATTTTCCAAATTCGACCAAAACATGTTCATAAACAAGCAAACTACAACAGTTGACTTTTTCTCCATTACAAATAACATGGGAATTTTAAATTTCCAATTTTTTTGAATCTTCTCCATAACTATTAGGCGCACAATAACGCTTCAATGATATACTAAATTATATGTTTTTTTAAGTTATACAAAATGGTTTGGAAAGGAATTGTGAAATTTTGAGTTTTTAGGGTCAAAAATTGGAAAAACCATAAACCTCCCATAAACCCCTATCATGCTGGTTCGCGAACTCGTTTGAATAAATGTAGGTTTACAAGTTTATACAAAATTTCATTAAAATCGGATCATTTTTGCTCGAGTTATCACGCTAACGGTCACACGCACGCGCATACACACACACACACACACCCACACACACACATACATATATATATGAATTTGAACGGATGGTGTTTTTGGCCTCTAGGGACCTCAAAACGAAAAAAGTAAATCGGGCCCGGGTACAGGTCTTACCATGAGTACTACGGTAATAGCTTATTCCCTATATGGGAAATTCACTAAAACCAAATATTGTCAGCAAGACAAATTTAACGATTTAAGGGTTATACTGTGTAAATATACTGCATATTAGGCCTACTTTATTACACAACACTATATAACCCGTTGCTTGAAATCGAGCAAAACTGCAATTTGTAATAAAAGAATAAAGAACGAAAACATAAACAGCTAGATACCAATCAAAAAGTCACTCTTAAGTTGGTCAAAGACTTAAAAAATTGTTTTAAACAATTATTAGTTAATTCCTTATTAGTTTAAGAGCCAAAGGAGGGAAGCTCCATGAGTCTTCTTTGAACTGCCATGCTATCAAAAGCGTCGCCCTAATTAATATTTACCAAAATGTATCAACTTAAATATACTTTCATCCATTGATTTGGACTCTATGCTATATAATCTATTTATAATCTAGTTATGTATAAGTCTGTATACGTTTTACTTCAATCACGGAATTGACACCACAACACACCTGTATACTAACGGTATAGCTAAGCCCTGCTTCCTAGGCTACCCAAGGTGTCATGGGCCACGGAGAAAATAAATATTAAGGTGGTATGTAGATACTGTAAAAACCAGTGTGTGTGAATCGGCCACCAATCTCACATCAAGGCTTTTTAAATTGACGCGATTGCAATTTTATTGTTAAATTATCGGATTTAAAATGCATATCATATAGTTCAGAACGTGTATTTATCCGAGTAAACTAGCTGTTCTGAATTATATTTAGTTTTAAATGACCCATACGTTGGACGGGCCAATAGCTCGTTTGAATAATAAAAAAACATACACTTTATTAAATTACTTAAAAACGTAAGGCAAGTAAGAGTGTTTAAATAATGGTATAACATCCTTGTTACTAAGATCAGCTTGTCTTTTAGCCGGACTCATTAATTAAAAGCCCCATTAATTACCAAGGACAGTTAGTTGAGCCAACTTTTAAACTAATGAAAATCGACATGACAAAATAATATAATAAAGGGAAATAAAACTGAAAATTTATATCAGTTCGATTATGGATTAGTTCTAGTTCATTTGTATAGATACATAAAATTAGGGAGTGTTGGAGCAATATTTTTTAAAATCTTAATTAAGTCAACTTTCTCAGTTTAAAATCATATGTATTTTACTAAATCCATATAATTTGGATTAAATAGAGATTAAGACATAATATCAACATTATACCATGATGTTGAGGTTGAGGTGAGGCTTAGGTTAAGATAACTATTAGAAACATTTTTCAGGGTTGTTTATTATTGCTACAAGTGCGTATCAATGATGTTCTAATCAATAAATGGTTATTCTAGTTTACCAAGCTACAAATCTTAAACTAGTCTCCTTATCTTTCTTTTCTGCTTTCGTCCGCATGCAACGACTGAAGAACGAGAAAGTAAGAGGCAAGTAGCTTCATAAACTGTAAACAAAACAATTGTTTTCATTAACAAATCCATGCAGGAGTATAATCCATGGATTTTTAAAATTCTAAATTGAATACATTGGTTTATCTGTTTTAATTTTTTTTAAATAATCTCAAATAAAAAGGAAACTGTGAACAGTCTGAAGTAAATTAGTAAGTGAAAAATTAAGTTTCTAAGTGGTATTGACAAGCACTTTGTAAACGATTTGTACCGCAATTAACAAGCATGGAGTATCCTTGTACATAAATAACGTTTTTGCAAAGATTATTATACCTTAAAATCTAACAAAGAAATATATGAAGGTTATTATTGGGTTGTTGACAAGATGTTTTATTGTGTAATCTACGAGTACAATAGATATGAGTATGTTTTAGCACTCCTATTGATAGATAACTTCACATAATACATGTAAAAAACTGAAGCAACCACACATTATTTTGAGAACACACATCATGGGTATTCTACTGCAAAAATTTGATGATTTATGCATCTAATTCATGGAAATCATCAATTGTTTGATGATTATCATAACCCAGGTCTAGCACTTACTAACAAGAAAGTGATCAGTATGAGGTATTTCATCCAGTATGGTCGGGTGGTTATCCTAATCCTGTTCTACTACTTATGTCCACGAATGTGCTCAGTTTCCGGTGGTTCATCCTCCAGCCGCTGAGTCTGGTCGGGTGATTAGCCTGAACCAGTTCTACTACTTACCTCCACGAATGTGCTCAGTTTCAGGTGGTACATCCTCCAGCCGCTGAGTCTGGTCGGGTGATTAGCCTGAACCAGTTCTACTACTTACCTCCACGAATGTGCCAAGATTTAGGTGGTACATTCTTCAGCCGCTGAGTCTGGTCGGGTGATTAGCCTGAACCAGATCTACTACTTACCTTCACGAATGTGCCAAGATTTAGGTGGTTTATTCTTCAGCCGCTGAGCCTGGTCGGGTGATTAGCCTGAACCAGATCTACTACTTACCTTCACGAATGTGCTCAGTTTCAGGTGGTACATTCTCCATCCGCTGAGTCTGGTCGGGTGATTAGCCTGAACCAGATCTACTACTTACCTCCACGAATGTGCCAAGATTTAGGTGGTACATTCTTCAGCCGCTGAGCCTGGTCGGGTGATTAGCCTGAACCAGATCTACTACTTACCTTCACGAATGTGCTCAGTTTCAGGTGGTACATTCTCCATCCGCTGAGTCTGGTCGGGTGATTAGCCTGAACCAGATCTACTACTTACCTTCACGAATGTGCTCAGTTTCAGGTGGTACATTCTCCATCCGCTGAGTCTGGTCGGGTGATTAGCCTGAACCAGTTCTACTACTTACCTCCACGAATGTGCCAAGATTTAGGTGGTACATTCTTCAGCCGCTGAGCCTGGTCGGGTGATTAGCCTGAACCAGATCTACTACTTACCTTCACGAATGTGCTCAGTTTCAGGTGGTTTATTCTTCAGCCGCTGAGCCTGGTCGGGTGATTAGCCTGAACCAGATCTACTACTTACCTTCACGAATGTGCTCAGTTTCAGGTGGTACATTCTCCATCCGCTGAGTCTGGTCGGGTGATTAGCCTGAACCAGATCTACTACTTACCTCCACGAATGTGCCAAGATTTAGGTGGTACATTCTTCAGCCGCTGAGCCTGGTCGGGTGATTAGCCTGAACCAGATCTACTACTTACCTTCACGAATGTGCTCAGTTTCAGGTGGTACATTCTCCATCCGCTGAGTCTGGTCGGGTGATTAGCCTGAACCAGTTCTACTACTTACCTCCACGAATGTGCCAAGATTTAGGTGGTACATTCTTCAGCCGCTGAGCCTGGTCGGGTGATTAGCCTGAACCAGATCTACTACTTACCTCCACGAATGTGCCAAGATTTAGGTGGTTTATTCTTCAGCCGCTGAGCCTGGTCGGGTGATTAGCCTGAACCAGATCTACTACTTACCTTCACGAATGTGCTCAGTTTCAGGTAGTACATTCTCCATCCGCTGAGTCTGGTCGGGTGATTAGCCTGAACCAGATCTACTACTTACCTCCACGAATGTGCCAAGATTTAGGTGGTACATTCTTCAGCCGCTGAGCCTGGTCGGGTGATTAGCCTGAACCAGATCTACTACTTACCTCCACGAATGTGCTCAGTTTCAGGTGGTACATTCTCCATCCGCTGAGTCTGGTCGGGTGATTAGCCTGAACCAGATCTACTACTTACCTCCACGAATGTGCTCAGATTCAGGTGGTACATTCTTCAGCCGCTGAGCCTGGTCGGGTGATTAGCCTGAACCAGATCTACTACTTACCTCCACGAATGTGCTCAGATTCAGGTGGTACATTCTTCAGCCGCTGAGCCTGGTCGGGTGATTAGCCTGAACCAGATCTACTACTTACCTCTACGAATGTGCTCAGTTTCAGGTGGTACATTGTCCAGTCGCTGAGTCTGGTCGGGTGATTAGCCTGAACCAGTTCTACTACTTACCTCCACGAATGTGCTCAGATTTAGGTGGTTTATTCTTCAGCCGCTGAGCCTGGTCGGGTGATTAGCCTGAACCAGATCTACTACTTACCTCCACGAATGTGCTCAGTTTCAGGTGGTACATTCTCCAGCCGCTGAGTCTGGTCGGGTGATTGGCCTGGTTTAGTGTCATGTACACCGCCATCTTCTGTAGATCTGAACCTTCAACCCACGGTATCTCGTACACCGCGTCCGATACGCTCAGCTGCTGCTCAGAGAAAAAATACTTATGTGTTTTCAAAATAAATTCATCCAGTGGCAATAATAGCTCATGAAATTGTAGTACTGACTGTAAATTAAGAAAGTAAAAGGTGTTTCCTTAGCACAGGAAAACATAAATGCTTTATTATAACCAACTGCCAGTGCACCATTTGCTCTGTCTTAAGTAGTTATTTTAAGCCTTAAGTATATCGGTTATCTTAAAGCTACGTTTCATAGTACCATCAACTCTCAAACAATCATTGATAACTTATCCATATCATCCTTACAGAGGAAATGTCACCACGTATGGTCGCCATTTCAGATAAAAGTCTTAAAGTATTAAAAAACTATCGTGGTAAATTAATACTGTAACCAATTAAAGCTCAATTTGCATCTCTCTTTTGAGCAAGCAGTGTTTAAATGGTGATGTAACAAAGTAGTATTTTATAAATGTTACTTGCTGCACTTAAATGTTCATTTTAGTGAATTTCCCATAGGGAATACAACCTAACCTGCTGACTGAGGATTTCTCCGAAGTAGTTATTTAAGAACTGGTGCAGAATGCAGACTCCGATGAAAATACACATTTGGAACCATTCAAAAAGAGTGTTTGATGTCTGAAACGACAATAAATAAGTTTTAAACAATTATAACTGTTCTCTTACTTAAATTTACCTAAACAACTAACTACTCAGTCATTAAATTTTGAGATAGAAGACACATGTTCTTACTTAGTTAGTTAAATGAGCAGCGTATGTATAAATGAAAATATTATATTTCATCACTAAGGTGAAAAGTTGCAACCTAAATCGATGTTTTGAACTGAATTCAAGAATAAGCTACAACGGATTAAATCAATTAATTTATATTTTATAGTTTAAATACAACCATGGCTTTCAAAAACTGACTTTTACTCACTAGGGACTAAACCTACTTTTTTATCCATAGGGAGAGTTTAAGAGATACAACGCATGTATTAGAATGGCTGTTTTTGCTGCAACATGATGAAAACCTCTTTTTCCCCATACTACAGCAAGAACAGTAGTGTTTTTAGTGAATTTCCCTATAGGGAAGTAGTATATTCTCACTATGTAATATACAACTGATATTTAGATGGTACATTCTCCAGCTGCTGAGCCTGGTCGGGTGATTATCCTGAACTAGTGTTTTCAAGATATAAAATAGCATGGGAAGTAAATTACCACGTTATTCTTATGGAGAATATTGTCAAATGTTGTAGTTTGCTGGTTTATGGATATATTTTGATTAAACTTGGCTAATTTATTTATTTAATACTAAGCTATTAATATCATACTAAAAATAAAACTTTATTAGTTTCCTTGTAGCAGCACATCTAGTGTTATCGAAATAGATTTAATTGAAATTCAATTCAGACAAATGGAAATTCGCTAAGCCTGCAGGTTTGCTGCGGTGGTGGTATTAAACATGTTATCGGGTTCTTCAAAATAGCATTTTTACTCAGTAGGATGTAAAACCTCTTTTTAGTCTCTATTGAGTAAAAATTAGCTGTTGTAAATTTCGGTTGTAGCAATCGCATGGATTGAAAATATTTAATTGGTTTTAGATTATTGTTGTATTCTTTTAATAGTTCAACATTTTGATAGTATAATGTATAGTAACACAATCGTAATACACGAAAAGATTGAATCATTTACTAAAGAACTGCTGATTTACATTGCAGAAATAAAAACAAGCTGGATGTCGTTTTGAGAGGTTTTTTTATATTAAAAGTATGTTCATGCATTAGTTTGTATGTCGTAGATTGTAACATACTGCCTAGGATCGGTAAGTTCTTTAGCCACGATCATTGGTAAAACCCCCATCAAGAGCACCAGAGTCTAGATTAAAACCATCAAAAATATTATTAACGCGTTTCGAGTAAAATACAAACGATGCTGCATCGAATATCTAATCCTATAAGGATATCATATAAGAGTCGTATCAACCTTAAAGCCACATGTAGTAAATTCTGAATTATATTTAGTGTCTAAGTGTTTAACCTCTCATTATGCTTTGCTTTGTTTCTTTTTAGCGAATTTCCCTATAGGGAAGTAGCTATTACCGTAGGTGGCACGGTAAGACCTCGACCCGGGACCGATTTACTTTTTCATTTTGATGTCCCCAGAGGCCAAAAACACTATTCGTTCAAATTTTTATATATGTATATATATATAGACTTATATATATATATATATATATATATATATACGTCCGTGAACGCGATAACTTGAGTAATTTTTGTCCGATTTTGATGAAATTTGGTTTAAAGGTGTAAAGCGGGATAAACTTGAATGAGTTCGCGAACCAGCACGATCGGACCATGGGAACGGGGCTTTACGGGGGGTTTTATGGGGTAAAAATTGGTTTTTCTCACTTTTGACCCTCAAAACACAAAATTTCCCAATTTCTCTTTAAAACTTTTTAAAGAGCTTAAAAAACAAATAATTTAGTATATAAAAGTATTTTTGTTCGATTATTAGTAACGGAGAAAATTAAAAAAATTGTAAATTTACAATTCCCATGTTATTCTTATGGAGAATATTGTCAAATGTTGTAGTTTGCTTGTTTATGAATATATTTTGATAAAACTTGGCAAATTTATTTATTTTGTACTAAGCTATCAATATTTTACTCAAAAACACACTTTACTAGTTTCCTTGTAGCAGCAAACCTAGGTACTCGTTAAACCTAATGTTATTAAAATATATTTAACTGAAAATCAATTCAGACAAATGGAAATTCGCTTAGTCGGCAGGTTTGCTGCGGCGGGGGTATTTTTAATTTTGGGTTTCCTTCAATAACATAGTTATAGGATGTTGAGGATGATTTAAGATTTTTAGAATCTATTAATGAATCTAATTTTCAAAAACAAATTGTAAACTAAATAATTATTTTTTATCTATGCTAGCTATAAACGAAACCCATCTTTATTTTTTATACTATTGAAAATTTTATTTTCTTAGAGACATAGATAGAATAGTTATCTGGAAAATGGGGGAATGCACGGGCTTACAAAGGTCATAGAGTATTACATTACTGGAAATTATCTTTATTGTATCTAACATTTTCTGTATCCATAAGCCCCTGGGCCCTAATTTTATCAGGGAAGTACTCCCTTTCTTAAAATACTCCCCAATCAACCATATAGATTACCATATTACATACGCTATTGTTGATGATTGTATATTATCCAGTGATAAATTCCCAAATTTGTGCATATCTGCCATTTAAATACTCACAATAGTCTGCAGCATCGCGAAGGACAATGATATTACAGCGTGTCCAAAGTCTACAATCACCATCGAGCGAAGGAGAGAGTCGATATCTCTGATTATCCTGTAACAGATTAAATATCCCGATATACAGGGTGTCCATAAAAACGTTTCTGGACTTTGAGATATGAATCCTCATACCAAAATAAAGAAAAAACTTTATAATGGAGGTTTCACCGAAAAATACATTCTCAGGATATCCTCCATTTTGTTTTTTAATACATAAAATTTTTTATCATTTAAGTTTTTCAACTTTCGGTATGTTTATTATAGCTTAATAGACCTATGTTAAGAAAAAAATAAGTTACTGTAGTTCAATTTGAAATTTCAAAATGGTGGATATTTTAGTTGTTATAACTTAATTTTTTAATGACTATTTATATGAAAAAAATTCAGGAACACTTTTATTTAGCATTTTAAACCCCCTGTTAAATGACATCAAGATAAAAAAGATCAAATGACAAACAACAGAAATATCACTTCGTTTAGTTATTAAATACTGCTAAATGAGGTTAATTAGCCTTATTTACACCAAAAACCGTTATATTTAAGTTATTTGACATTCGATCTTTTTGATCTTGGTGTCATTTATAGGGAATTTTAAATCTATCTATACATCTATACTATTGAAGAGGTGATGTCTGTCTGTCTGTGAGCGTGTGTTTGTATGAGATAAACTCAAAAACTTCTGAACCGACTGGGCTCAAATTGGACAAAAATAAAGCTACAGCTCCAAGGATACATATACGTAACTATTCCCGCCTCGATATTGTCCTAGAACTCTGACCCGGAGGTTTTCAAAGTTATGAGGTGAGAGTTTTAAAAGTAAATATTGATTGGTCTCCATGGTAACTCACAATTTCTTTACAAAAATTTGACTTACGGAATTATATATATAGATATTGATTGGTCTCCATGGTAACAAAGAACTGTAATTGATTATGGAAATAAAAAAAAAAATTCTATAACCGTTGCTGTGTCAACCCAGGCTCAGCTTTCGATTTATTAAAGTGTCCAAGTTATGAAAATAATGTTGTTGATATATTTTCATGTAAACAGTAGAACATTTACAATTTAGGTTACACGTTATGAATATATTTGGTGGCTTTTTGTTTATAAACTAGAACAACTTAACTTAAGTGTTTGGATTAGGCGGTATAGTACATCTTCCCATTGCGAAGCACGGATACAACAGCTAGTGCTAAATAAAAGTATACTTGACACGTTTTCATAAAATTGGCAATCTTTTTGTTACTTAAGTTATAAAATTTAATTAGCCACCATTTTGGAAAAATTGACCAAATATTTTATTTCCATTGACATAAGGCTCTTAAACCTTTAATATACATAAAAGTTTCATAAAGGTCGGTTGAAAAATTTCAAATATAAAAAGGCTTATGTATAAGAAACTAAATGGCGGGTATCTGGTCAAATATACATTTTCGTACAAACCTTAACATCCACTTTTTTCTTCCATTGGGTATAAGGAACCTTATCCTAAAGTCCAGTGACGTTTTTTTATGAACAAACTGTATATTAATCCCAATATCCACATTTGAAATCAATAATCCAAACGCAAAAAACTATAGCATAAATCGGTCGGGTTGGAAACTGTCCATCTATAAATAGCCACGGCCAATCTAATCTTTCAGGAGTAAATATGAAGCTAATGTAAATATGGAGCTTTTGGGAGTAAATATTAATCAACCTCAAAGGATTAAAATTAAAAACCACAATTCTTTATATGATTAATTGTTTTATTTTATACGTAAAAAATATTTACATGCTGTATGTTATGTAAATGAAATCACATTATATGAACATCGAAAAGATTGTATGAGGCAGTTGATTTAGGATATATAATTGTAAATAGTAATATTCTGTCATTCAGCTGGTTGGATTAAGGCAATGATAAAGCTATAAAACAAGGTGCCACTCGAGTATTGTTCCTATAACCAATTGTACTTTAAATTAATCAAAAGGTTCTTTAGCATTTATTTATTATAGCCTAGTGAAACTTAAGGAGAGTTTAAGGTGAATAAGGGTGGTAGTACCTTTAAATCTAAATCATAGCCTCCACTTACATATTAGTGGAGGTATATGCCTAAATGCGCGTTTCTTCATAGTTTCAATGCATACAGTCTTACTGTTGGATTTGCCGATGTTTGTAAACTAAGCTGTGTAGTCAACCATGTAAGGCTTATTACATTACGTCAAGTATTGGTAAACTATAGATGTTCACCATTACATCTACGTATCATCGTGTTTGCCATCATTTGTACTACCTAAAACTTACTCAAGGAGAGATCTTAAAATACGTTTACTTACTGAATCAGTTCGCAATGAAAGTTGACACATTTAATCACAGCTTCGTCCATCTCAGTCTGAATGTTCTTATTTTTGAAACCCATTTTCCATAAGCTTTCATATCCAATAGGAGGTGCTAAAATGTTAGAAGAGCCACTATTACTTTCATCGTAGTTGCTAGTGTGTAATCTACTGAATGGTTTTAAAAAGTTGTCTATGCCTAATGTGAAAATTGCAGATGGCGCTAGTAGTTCCAGTTTCTACATGAAGCCATTAGTAGGCCTAATTACACGAGGGGTAAGAGACAAAAGGGCAACCTGAGATTTAAAAGAGACGTACTGCACTAAAAAGGACGCACCAATCGTCAGGTGGATTACTGAAGATTATGCTGGATACGAGCTGGATACTATTACCTATCCAGCTCTGAGGATGGTGTATCAAGCGAATAAGAACCCAAAGGGGACCGGTATCGTCATCAGGCAAGACCCGACCCATCGTCCTTTGGGGTTCAATTCTAGGTCTACTACTTTTCACTATTTACATCAATGACATTAGTACTACAATTCACTATGTAAAGTTTAATTTTTATGCTCGAAACTTTCAAATCTACTCTCATTCAATACAATTAATTTTCTTAAACATGTTTTGGGCTTATTTTTAATACTGTACATGGTGTTTCTGGTCTCCACATTAGGATAAAAAACGAAAACAGTCCCGGGTCCAGATCTTACCGTACCACTTACGGTAATAGCTGCTTTTATTTATGGAATATTTGTTACAAGAAAATTCGAAGAATTTTAAATCTGTGCGTGAAAGATGCGCAATGAATACTCTGGCTCGTTCACGCTGCGCATTCCTAATCACAGGACAATTAATCATTATCTAATCGTATTAAATCATTTGTAGTGACCGCATGCCTTCTATGGAACTCGCTACCTTATATAATTCAATCCATAGAAAACCGATCCCGAATGATGGTGGGTGGCGCTGAAAGGATATTACCTTTACCGCATGGTCGTATCTTGGTGGGATACCGTGCATTAATTCTGGGTGCAGCAGAGCGTATATGTGTGTGACTGTATATTAGGGAAGCGAAATAAATTCAAGCTATGTTATTAGACTTATTTCGTTTTATTAAAAAACTTTGTTGTTCTTATTTTGTTGATGTTATGTAATTATTGTTAGTTTTTTTTAGATGTTAACAAGTTCACCTCAATGTAGAAGAATTTTTGAACCATTTTAATTTTATTTAACTAACCCTATTTAAAGATCTAAATCCAAAGATAAAACATAACACCATAAAACATAAAATATAACACCCTTGTGCCCCCTGATGATGGCTCTATTTTAGAGCTATTGTTGTCATATACAATTTTTGTTTGGCTTTTAGCAGGCATAGAATTCAGATATTTCGAATAATATTATTTATTGTTAAAAACATAGCTTCGTAATACATATTTATTAGAAATTGGCTATACTACAACACAACAATAAAACATATATAACACATTTATGTTACTTACTGTTAAAATGGTTATCCCCATTTTCTAGAAGGGTTTTCAGCTTTGAGGTTTTAATTTTGTCTTGTAGCCCTCTGAAAGAAACCTTTAGCAGTTGGAGTTGACCGCAGGTAAGATATATGATCATGAAGAAAAATGAATCGCTGACCAGATAGAGATGGCCTGATCCTAAAAGTGGAATGAGCTCGAGTAGGTAAACTATTTCGTAAAGTGGTGACCAAGTAACGTCAAAAGGGAACCAACAGTTGAAAGGTAGCTTTTTCTGACTATCAAACAGGCCATCGCCAACCCCCCAGGGATCTGTAGTGTTAATGAGTCCCGAATTGTCAAAAGCTTTCAATTCCTTTATAGTTCCTTCTAAGATTTTGTTTCTCTTTAGAATTTTACTGTTTGAATTACTTTGTAAAAGATTAAATATAGCCATCAAATACGGTTGAATACCAAACGTGACCAAAAGCATAGGTGCGCCCATTGATACATAGAACACTATATACTTTTTGGAGTTCTTTATCCAGTCATTTATGTCAAACTGACCACAGAAAAAGTCGGTTTTTACAAACGTAGAGTTGATTTTGTCGACTAGCTCCTGGAAATGTTGGCGGTAGTATATGAGGTAGACCATCTTGAACAGTGCAGATGCGGTAAGAGTGGCTAGATCCACGGCGGAGGCCATGGAAGTTATGTTAGGTGACACAAATATCTCTATTATCTGACACACGGAGACTACAACCAGGGAGACAACCAGTAATGTCGTGTACACATAGTTGACCACTAGAAGTGGCCTCGAAGGCCTGTCTAGAGGCCAGAGTCCGATGGTCCTCATTAACCGGATATTGTAATCGAGGAGGCCGAGGCCAGTCATGACGTCACTCAGTCAGGGGGTTTCCAACTAGTAGGTTATAAAAAAAACCTTGAAACTAGCAAAGCAGTAAGCAAGGGTGTAAACTAAAATTGTGGTTTAGTCAAGAGATATATAACAAAAGTAAATATCCTGTATGCTATTTTATACAAAAAAATAATACCAAGTCTTGATGTGTGCAAGAATAACTAGACTCTTGAACTGAAGTCTTGGTTGTAACAAATGCTGAAAATTCATCGGAAATCACCGAAGCAAAATGAATTTTTTACCATGATGTCGTCAGTTTTATTCGCAGAACATATCCCATTCACTAATCGTATATAAATTACCTTTCATGTTTTAATATTTTATACAGTGCATGGATAATACAATTGAATTCCACTAAATTTGTATATTTTCTTTTAACATGAATTAAACGTAAACTGAAATGATATATTTGACTTGTTTGTTCATTGCATTCAGTTTATATACTTAATTGTCTAGATGTTGTTATTTAAGAGATGATTGGCTTTACTTTGATGTTAGAAATACTGCTTCAGGCAAGTTTTTTGCGAATAGATTATTCCTTAGCAAAATTAGATAAATACATTTAATAAAACGGTGTTGAGGTCTCGAAAAGAACTTATATATTTCAATAGTTTGTTTTAGGTTGGAACATACAAACGTATATTTCCGAAACATAGAAAATAATCATAAAAATTAAGAGACCTGTTAGTTTCATATGGCTTAATCCTGATGGAAATTTAAAGTAAACATAAAGCAAAATTAATAAGTTACGTAACATGTAAACAATAAATCAAATCTGCCTTCTTTGCAGGGAAAGTTTCAGCTTATGTGGTACATAAGTTACTCTACATAAGTTGTTTAGTATGTCGTAATATTGTTTGGAGACAAACTTTCACATGTCACATCCAGCTAATAGACAAATCCGATTCCCAGCTGTTGCTTGCAAGTTTAGCTCTTTGTAACGAACTCGGGAATGGCTGGCTTTGTAGTAATGACTCATTGAATTCCCTGCAACAATGCGCAAATAGCATAACAGTAGATTACTAATTAGTACTGCTTAGTATTAGTATTAATATTAGTTCGGGAGAATATATTGTAGTGTCATTCTTCGTATGTATTTGCATTTAAGATAAAGATAAAACATGTACCTACACAACTTATACTTCGTGTGAATGGAACGTCTACAGCCGCATCAAAATTAATCGATCAAACTTAAACATAAATAAGTTATAACAAGGTACTGGCAATGACAAATACTTGCTACACTCTATATCATTACCAAAATCACATGTTCTTTTACACTGTCTATAATTTTACTTTCTAGAAGTAAAGTTTACTGAAGGCTGAAATTATACTCGTAGCGTCAAATATAAGTAGGAGGGAAAATCGATTAAAACTCCCTCTGTTTTTTTTTTTTTTTTTTTTTTTTTTTTTTTTTTTTTTACCCCCAGTGCTGCAAATCTGCAGACTAAGCAAATTTATATTTTCTCAATTGAGTTTTTACAAAAATATTTTCCTAAAAACATGTCATTCATTTTCCCTATTATAAAATATTAGGTCCAACGAGGTAACAGGTATTAAAAAAGTAATACTTTGATCCTAAAACCCGATCCGTGGTTCACACGGTGAGTCGGTGTAAACCTACGTTTTTTCAAACGTTTTCTTGAACTAGCGTGATCGGACTATAGGAACGGGGTTATATGGAGGAATTTATGGGTTAAAATTTTGGTTTTCCCATTTTTGAAATTCAAAACATAATTTTTTTTTATTTCTCTTAAAACTATTTTGAAGAGCTTAAATAAATTAAAAATTTAGTGTATTGAAGTGTTTTTGTGCCATTATTGGTGACGGATGAAATTCAAAAAGTTTTAAATTTAAAATGCCCATGTTATTCTTATGGAGAATATTAAACTGTTGAAGTTTGCTTGTTTATGGGTATATTTTTCATCAAACTTGCCAAATTTATTTATTTTATACTAATCTATTAATATTTTACAAAAAAAAAAAATAATACACTTTATTACCCTCCCTGTAGCATACAAACCTAGCTACACGTTTAATCTTAATGTTTTACAAGTAGATCTAATTGAAAATCAAATCAGGCAAATGGAAATTCGCTTAGTCTGCAGGTTTGCTACGGGTGGGGTATTATTTAAATTTCTTACGAGGTACAAAAAAAGGAATATTAGCCAGACATTCTCTGCCTGAAGATGTGCTACTTTTTAAAGCACGAAACAGCTGCAGCCGTCATACTATCAAGGATCGCCTTAACAGATAACAGGTATTCTAAAACACTTCAGGACATATTGGTGTTGTCATAAAAAAAGGTGTGCTAAAGATCAACCTTTTGTATTAACTGTTGCTACCATTTATTGAGAAGATAGTTAAGCTAGAAAATATTTAAATAAACGGGCCATCTAAAAAAGCGTTTCGTCTTATAAAATGTGTTACAGCATGGAAAAATATATCTGGTTTCTATCATACCTCATAGGGTAATAAACTAAACCTAATAGCAGCATCATTATCTCAAACTTTGAAGTTTTGATTTACTACTCGAATACCTTAACAACTAATCGATTTTGTGAACCTTGATAATTTATAATAGGCTTCACTATAACTCCAATACAATATATCAGTCTAGTGAACACGTGTATTTGAGATAATCACAGCCTTTGACAACGATCCGTTTGATGATATTTGAAACTCTACGGCTTCGTTATGAAATAAAGTGTTTGGTTGAAAGTTTAGGATTTCTTTTTTCTGATCATCTATATGTAGGCTACTCAATAAACTATTTAACGAAAGAAAAACGACAACCACAAACTTACTTCTTAGTTATTTTTGATATACGTGTTTAGCCAGTTAAACTTATAAAACTTATATATAAAACATGAAAATAGTTGTTATTAATTTACAAATGCTTTCTTTGACATTCAAGATTTCTTTTGTAGACATACTAATACTATTAACTACACTAACTCTAATAAGGTTAACAATTCTTGACACCAAGTTTAACTGACTATAAACGTATATCAAAAATAACTAAGTAACCTTGCGATTGTCGTTTTTCTTTCGTTAAATAGTTTAATGAGTAGCCTACGTATAGATGATCAGACAAAAGAAATCCTAAACTTTCAACCAAACACTTTATTCCATAACGAAGCCGTAGAGTTTCAAATATCATCAAACGGATCGTTGTCAAAGGCTGTGATTATCTCAAATAGACGTGTTCACTAGACTGATATATTGTATTGGAGTTATAGTGAAGCCCATTATAAATTATCAAGGTTCACAAAATCGATTGGTTGTTAAGGTATTCGAGTAGTAAATCAAAACTTCAAAGTTTGAGATTATGATGCTGCTATTAGGTTTAGTTTATTACCCTATGAGGTATGATAGAAACCAGATATATTTTTCCACCATTATCACGTATTTTAACCTTTTTACAATATTATATTTTTCCATGCTGTAACACATTTAATAAGATGAAACGCTTTTTTTGATGACCCGTTTATTTAAATATTTTCTAACTTAACCATCTCCTAAATAAATAGTAGCAACAGTTAATACAAAAGGTTGATCTTTAGCACACCTTTTTTTATGACAACACCACTAATAATGTTTGAAGTGTTTTAGAATACCTGTTTTCTGTCAGGACGATCCTTGATAGTATGACGGCTGCAGCTGTTTCGTGCTTTAAAAAGTAGCACACCTTCATGCAGAGAATGTCTGGCCAATGTTCCTTTTTTGTACCTCTTAAGAAATTTAAATAATACCCCACCCATAGCAAACCTGCAGACTAAGCGAATTTCCATTTGCCTGATTTTATTTTCAATTAGATCTACTTATAAAACATTAAGATTAAACGAGTAGCTAGGTTTGTATGCTACAGGGAGGGTAATAAAGTTAATTTTTATTAATTTTTTATTGTAAAATATTAATAGATTAGTATAAAATAAATAAATTTGGCAAGTTTGATGAAAAATATACCCATAAACAAGCAAACTTCAACAGTTTAATATTCTCCATAAGAATAACATGGGCATTTTAAATTTAAAACTTTTTGAATTTCATCCGTCACCAATAATGGCACAAAAACACTTCAATATACTAAATTTTTAATTTATTTAAGCTCTTCAAAATAGTTTTGAGAGAAATTAAAAAAATTTATGTTTTGAATTTCAAAAATGGGAAAACCCAAATTTTAACCCATAATTCCTCAATATTAGGGACCCCTGGCGGTACAACGTCACTCTGTGACAAGCGAATATACAAACTGTAACCTAACGTGCCTATTACGAGTATATCTATAGAAATGGTAGTATGAGATATAAAGCTAGCCCCTGACACGACAGTTGGTGTCAATATTTTTACGACTCAAATACATCTCTGGGTGTCTTTGATAAAACCGTGGTCACGATTATAAATGAAGGTTAAGTATGCTGGCATGACGCTTGATATTTCTATATCAGAGATAACGAGTGACATAACGTATCTCCCCAAAAGAAAAGGATCAGTATACAGATTAATGTGTGGTGTGTGGAGCAATCGACCAACGAGACACTTGATATGTCAATATCAGAGTCATCATAACTTCTCTCGTGACGCACTGATAGGTGAGTAGGTGACCCTCATGAACATGTAAACTGTGCAGGAGTAAATATGAAGCACCCTTCAAACGTTAGATGTGAAATACTCACATGCGAAGGAAATATTTTAACAAAATACTTTTAAAATGTCGTTGTTTATCCTTAATTTAAATATATAAATGATTAACAGATATCTTTATTAAGTGGTCAAAGAATCCTAAAAATAATTTTTTAACTTTCATGGTGGCCCACGATACTTTAAATTATAGGCTTGAATTGTGCATTTTTTTCATTTATAACATTATCTTTAATTATTTTTATTGCACATATTAAGAATGTGTTGTAATTTTTATGGTAATTATTATGGGCATTAATAGAATGGCGATATATTTTGTCTCGTAGGCCTGA